TCTTGTGTGATATTCATAATGAAAAAGATGAAAAGAAATAACACCTGTCCATTGCAACGCTTTGCAGTTTGGAAGGTCAAAAACAAAAGCCCTCTTTGGCATCCTGTCCTGTCCATCTGATGGCCCAGATCTGAAGGGGTAGTGCTTCCAGGAAGGGCAGAGTAGACCCTAGGACCCAAGAGTAGCTGAGTACTGTCCCTAGTAACAGAGGTGGCTGCTCTGGAAGCAAGATCCTGGAACACACTGTCATTGCCTCCTTTGTTAGGGACAGAGAAGCCCTATGGTGCCTTCTGCCTCTATAGGCACCCTCCCAGGCACATCCCTCACAGAACTCTCTGTGGCTCCCTCTGTCTCTCCTCTAGACTTGCCCTCCCAACTCTATATATCTCCCTCCACTGACCCAAGGACTCCTTGTCTTGCCCACACATCCTGTCCTCTCTGTCTGTCAATCTGTCTCTGTTCCAATACCTACCACTTTTCTCCTTTCTAGAAGCCTCACCCACAGTCCCATACCGTCTTACACAGGCCCAATATGGCTCCAGGTACCAGGCTAGGATGTGCCACCCTGGACAAGGAAAAGTCATACTCCTGGTGAGCATCCTAGGGCCACTTGTGGTCAGCAGCAGCACTGACCAGGACAGCTAGCAAGCTCTCACATCTCAGGCATAAAAGAAACAAGCACCACTATGAATTAAACATCAAGCATAGTGCCTCACATACACACGGTGCTTAATACTTGCTTATGTTTGTACATATGTTTTCAAAATCAGAGCTCTTATCCAAGCCCCACCTTTATCTCTAAGAATAGTTCAACAAGATATCTGTAATTAAAACTGTATTTGCGGGGCCAGATATTTAGCTCAGTGGTTTCGCCACCTGCTGCACAAGCCCAAGGACCCGATACCTGGTATCAAAAAAAACACAAAAAACTCTATTTGCCCCTGGTTACTTCAAAATTCAGCATGATTTTGTGCAGGTAAGTCTTAGCTAACTAAAATTTGTAAGGAAAGGTAAAGAAACTAGAAGAGCCAAAACAACTTTAGAAAAGAGGAAAAAGTGAGAGGAATCACATTACCTGATTTGTTCTCAGGGCTCTATATTGAATCCACTAAACTGTCTCAGCCCCTTTCCTCCCCTTTTTAAATTTGTATTTTTAAAAATTCATTTTGAGGGTTGGGGATTTAGCTCAGTGGTTTCGCCACCTGCCTCGCAAGTGCAAGGACCTGAGTTTGATCCCCAGTACCAAAAAAAAAATTCATTTTGAGAAAGGAACTTATGATACTCCTACCTCAGCTTTATACCTTATAGTTCACCCATTTAAAGTGAGTTCAGAGCCAGGTGTGGTGGAGAATGCTGGTAATCCCCACAGTATGGGAATTTGAAGCAAAAGGGTTTGAAAAGGGAAAGTTAAAAGTTCCAGCCCAGCTTGGACAATTTAGTAACTTGGTGTACTGTCTCAAAATTAAACAAACAAATAAGTAAATAAACTGGGGATGTAACTCAGTGTGAAGCCCTTGGGTTCAGTCCCTAGTACTCTTTAAAAAAAAAAAAAAGAGTGCTGGGGGTTTAGCTCAATGGTGCCTCGCCTGCCTGGCAAGTGCAAGGTCCTGAGTTTGCTCCCTGGTACCGAAAAAAGAAGAAAAAAGTTTATTTAGATCTGTGAGTTATAGTTTATCCACAGTCATGTAGCCAATAGTGCATTTTAGAACATTGGCATCACCCTAAAAGAAAACCCATATCCATTAGCAGTCACACCTCCTGGATACATCATCTTAAACAAAACTTCACCTACTTTTATCACTATAGATTTGTCCATTCTGGACTTTTAATTAATTAATTAATTAATTGCAGCACTGGGGATTGAACCCAGGACCTTTGTACTGAACTATATCTCCAGCCCCCTCCTTTTTTGAGACAGGGTCTCTCTATGTAGTTCAGGCTGGCCTCGAATTCTCAGCAATCCTCCTGCCTCAGCCTCCTAAATGCTGGAATTACAGGCATGCACTACCATGCCAGGCTATCCCCAGCCTTTTTATTATTTTGAGATAGGCTCTAGCTAAATTGCCCAGGGGCTGGGCTCATATTTGGAATCCTCCTGCCTCAGCCTCCTCAAATGCTTGGATTACGGTGTGTACCACCTTGCCCAGCCATTCTGGATATTTCATAGAAATGGAATCATGTACTACTTCCTGTCTGGCTTCTTCCACTGAGCATCTTTTCAATGTTCATATGCAATTGTAGCATGTATTAGTCTTCATTCCTTTTTATGGCTGAAGAATATTCCATGGATAGATTATACTATATTTTATTCATCAGTTGATGGAAAATTGGGTTTTTCCACTTTTGGCTATGATGAATAATGTTGCTATAAAGATATGTTTCTGTGGATATATATTTCCATATCTCTTGGGTATATGTCTACAAATGTAATGGCAGGATTATACAATAACTGTGTTTAACCTTTTGAGGAATTGATACACCGTTTTCCAGTGTGGCATATTACATTCCCACCAGCCTTGTTATTTTGTTTTGTTAATTATGGCCATCTTGGTAGGTATAAAGTGTGTCTCTTTATAGTTTTGATTTGCTAATTGCTAATGGCCTTGAGTGTCTTTTCATTTTCTATTGTATATTATAAATTGGCTATTTGTTTATCTTCTTTAAAGAAATGTCTATTAAAATTCTTTGCCCAGTCAAAGAAAAACTACTGCAAAAACTGAGTCCAAGGACAAGCATGTAAATACGGGGTTGGGCGGGGATGGGTGGCAGGGAAAGACTTCACAGTCACGGAGGGCTCTGTTTCCCACTGGAACTCAGGACCGGGACTGCAGGCAACAGCAATTCCATGTGCAGATCTCGCTCAGGGAGAGGCGGCTCACCTCTCCCTGAGTGAGGGGCGCCTGCTCGGCCTCTGCGTGGTGACCACGCTGCTCTCCGGACCACTTCTCAGGTAGCCTTGGGAGAAGTCGCTCTGCTTAGGAGAGGAGGGCTCACGTGGGCGTGGGGTTGGGGGTTGCTTTGGTGGTGTTTCTTTTTTTTTTTTTGGTACCGGGGATCGAACTCGGGACCTTGCGCTTGCGAGGCAGGTGCCGGAACCACTTAGCTAAATCCCCGGCCCTAGTGGTGTTTCTGCTTGGACACCCAGTTCCCTGCAAGGTCGAGGGTTTTGGTGTCGACATAATGTGGACCACATGCCACATCTTCTGCTTGAAAGCTTGTTTAGCCAGAAGCCAGAGCCCACTGTGCACATCAGGAAGCCACACAAGCATGTTGTGGATAGATGTGAGTTATAGTCAAAGTAAGATAGGTTGCCAAGTTTCCTCCGTAGAGAAGTCACTTTTTTCTCAAGATTTTACAATTGAAACTTCAGCCTTTGTACTCTGGAAGGGTTTGCTCCAGCATGAGCTCTTATACCTCATGTTGACCTAATTTAACCCATGAATCAAGGAGTAGAATAAATGCACCCACAAGGCGGTTCTTTTCCTTTGGTTCTCTCCTTTGAAGTGACTGGAGTTCTCACTTAGGTTTGTGAGCTGTCTGTTTGCTAGTTGTGAAGTTCTGCATTCATAAGTGCCATTGTCCATAGCGGTGTTTCCTAAACCTTCCCCAATGCAGTTTTACCTTTGTTGAATTTGTATAAACAATTGTACAAAAAAAAATTCTTTGCCCATTTTTCAATTTGTTGTCTATTTTTTTTTAATTCTAAGATTTTTAAATAACTTTTTGTTTTGGTTTGGGTGCTAGGGACCCAGGGCTTTGCTTATGTTAAGCATTCACTCTACCACTGAGCTATATCCCTGGTACTTTATTTTGGATAAATTCTTTATTGGATATATAATTATCAAATACTTTCTCTCATTCTGTGGGGCATTATTCAACTTTAAAACTTACCATAAACCTACAGTAATCAGAGTCAGCCATAGTAGCACACTCCTATAATCCCAGCATTCTAGGAGGCTGAGTTAAAAGGATCACAAATTCAAGTCTAGCCTGGGCAAGTCTTCGAGACTTAGCAACACCCTGTCTCAAAATAAAGAAATAAAAGGCTGGGTATGTAGCTCAGTGTGAAGGCCCTGGGTGCAAATTCCCATACTGATGGGGAAAAAAAGCTACAGTAATCAAAATCAAAACAGTCTGATTATGGTGAAAGATAGTCACATAAATCATGGAACAGAATAAAGTCTATGGCAGTCAAAGTGGAGCATACCTGTGATCCCAGAACTCAGAAGGCTGAGGCAGGAGGACTGCTATAAATTCAAGGCCAGCCTGGGCTACACAGTGAGATCAAGGTGATTTTAATATACCCCTCATACCAGTCATTATAACATGAGACAAATATTCCTTTTGGTTTTATTTTACATACAATAAATCGACTTTTTTGGTTTTTACAATTCTCTGATTTGTGTGTGTTTGTGGGGAGGGGGGTTACTGGGAATTGAACCCAGATCTTGGCACTAAACTACATCCCCAGTCCTCTTTTATTTTGAGACAGGGCCTTACTAAGTCACTAAATTGCCCAAGCTGGTTTGAACTTGAAATCCTCCTGCCTCAGACTCTCAAGTGCAGGGATTACAGGCATTTGACAGCATTCCCAGCATGTTTTAGGAATTTGTGTGTCATGACACAGAACAGCTCCACCATTCCACAAGCTCCACCCTTCCCTTGATCCTGGATCAGCAGACCCCTTGCTGTTCTTGGAGCAATTCAGGAGTCACAGAGATGAGCTGGAAGGGGATGCCACAGACAGCATGGTGGGCAATGTACCCAAGGAGGGTGCACATTGGGCCCCACTTGGCCATTCTGAAATGGATAAGGACAGCGCAGGGCTGGACTTCAAAGGCAGGGATGACCTCCTGGGAAGCCTGGGCCCCTATCTCTCCTAGATACTGTGTCAGACTATGGCCAACGCCCCCTTGAAGGCCAAGAGGGGGCAGGAGTGATAGCTCCTCACCTCCCAGGACCACCAGGCCTTGACTGCAAATTGTCACTGAGTCAGATAAGAGCTCCCACAGCTCAGCCCTCCCTCCTCTCCCAACCAATGGCCACATCCTGGCTGGGCCCACAGCACAGTGCATATAAGAGGACCCTGGAGAGTGAGCACCACCAGGCCAGTCCTGAGCGTCTCCAGCTCCAGCCCACCTGCCCACTGTACCATCATGTCTCTGACCAACAGTGAGAGGGCCATCATCACGACCATTTGGGACAAGATATCCACGCAGGCTGATGTCATTGGCACTGAGACTCTGGAGAGGTAAGAGCCAGACAGGATGGGCTGAGTGACCAGATTAGAGGCCAGGGCAGGGGCGGTGGGAGGGGTCAGTAAGGGAGGATGGTGAGGATGAGCAGTGAGCAGGGGTCAATGAGAAAGGCTCATTGAAGAGGGGTCAAGAGGGGGGCGAGTAGGAGAGGTCAATGAGGGCCAGGGATGTAGCTCAGTAGTGCTGCGCCTGCCTGCGAAGCACAAGGTCTTGAGTTTGATTCCCAGTACTGGGGGAAAAAAAAGGTCAATGAAGAAAGGTCAGTGAGGAGGGGCAGTTGGAGTAGCAGGTATGGATGGGATGGTGCAAAGAGGTCAGTAGGAGAGGTAAAAGGCAGGCATGAATGCACACACCTGTGATCAGCACTTCAGTGGCTGGAGCAGGAGGATCACAAATTAAAGCTCAGAGTGGACTACATAGTGAGTTCAAGGCCAGTCTGTACTGAAAATTAACACCTTGTCTGAAATAAACAACAAAAGAAAGAGGTCAGCAGGAGGGTCAGGAGCAGTGGGTGGGGTGGAGAGGATGGTGGGAAGATTCAGAAGAAAGGTCAGTGAGGGAGAGGTGTCAGGAGGGGTGATCAACATGGAAGAACTGTGAAGAGGGGAAGTAGAGAAAGGCCCTTTGACAGTGGTGGTGGTGAGGAGGGGCCGTGAGGTCAGGGAGCTGCAGAGGTGGTGTAAGGAAAGGGAAAGGGAGGGGAGCTGAAGGGAGTACTTTATCTCAAGGGGGTCACTGACCCCAGCCAATACCAGGCTGAGCAAATGAATGAATGAATGAATGAATGAATGATGGGCATTGGGGCAGAGTCAATGCTTTACCACACTGGAGCCTGGGCAACAGGAAAAATAGGCAATACCCATGCTGTCTTTATTTAAAGCTTTAATGTTCAACATAAATTGTTTTGCATTCATTTAAGATTTCATTAAAATATGATTTTAATTTATCACAATGATAGGTGACTGACTGACAATATGTTTATATACTGAACGTTTTGGGAAATCTGTAAGTTTGAGGCTAAAAAGTGCTTGGGGTCTGGGCACTCCCTCATCCTCCAAACTGAGGCCCCAAGGCTCACGCTCCCCCAATCCCCAGGCTCTTCTCCAGCTACCCCCAGACCAAGACCTACTTCCCCCACTTCGACCTGCA